CATGTCCAATATCATTGTGAGTCATTTTTGTTTTTATTTATAATTATATGAACAATTCGATGATGATTTTAACAAACAAAAAATCTATTGTTTTGTATCTAAAAAATTGAAATGAATTCCATATATTGTATGAAATAAATATTTTGAATTGATCTTTGTCTAAATAAAATAAGAAATGCAAATTATAATCTATAGATTATTAAGTACGAATTGATATTTTCACGTGAACTGGGTTTTATCAAATAATGTGATGTCGATTATTCGTCTTCCTTTTTGTTATATTGTATAGAACAAAAAAAAAAGAATCTTGTCATCATGATGTATATATATATCGTTGCACATTTATCTATTGTAATAAATACATAAAATATAAATGAGTCAAGAGTAACGTGTCATACAAATGGCCTTGTTTTTTTTCTTCGTACACATGGCTTACGTATAAATTATAACTTAGTCGTATTTTTATATACACTCGTAAAACGTTCTTTACTTTATTATACTTGATTTCTTAATAAAGAAAATTATTTCATAACTATGATATTATTTTTTGAAGAACACACAAGCCTTTACTACTACAATTCGACTAAAAAAACAGAATTTATGATATTTAGATTATGTTACTCATATCTATGTATAGCAATGATAGTGCTTTATTTTTTAATTCTTAATGTTAAAAAATGAAAATTTCGTCTGATCTGATATTGAACTGTGTACAATTATATCGATATAAATTTTCTTATTTTTGATGAAACAATAAAAATAGATTGCGTGAACTATTGATATAGTCGCTTATTTTCAATTCATATCCAAATAAAAAGGTGCAGAATAAATCATTCGTCTGTCGAATAAATAATAGAAAATAAGAGAGTAAATATGATCTTTATTAAATTATATGGGAATATAAGTTCTAATATTAACTAATATTTATCTGTTTTAATTTTAATAAAACTTATATTGATAACAGTACTCAATTTTGTTTAATATGTGATTACGAGAGTTTTGATATTCTATAACAAAATACATTTTTTTTTCAGACCGAATTAGAGGCATTTGTTTTTACTTGTATTCAATCAAGAATTTTTATTAAATTGTCATTTGTAATGTAGAAGAGAAACTTCTGAGAAGTTTTTTAAAATATATTTATATTATAACAAAATGAAAAATACATCCACTTAGACATGTTTGAAGAGAAGACTTGCCTATTCGACATGAATAACGTGATCATTTAGAAGATATTTTAAGCTAGTTAAGTCAACTCTCTATTCCAGTAGAGTATATGAATAATAATTATTATCAAATATTAAATTAATTCTTCTAAGAATATCTTTATTTTTAATTTCACCCGTGAATAAATAAGTAATTACTTTTATATTTAGTGATAACAAATAAAATATAGTTGCTGTAACTAACATTATCAAGTGACTTTTATCAAAGACATATTAAAAGATTTTTCTTAGACAATTTGCTTCAATTTTTGCATCTTTTGTAAAAAAAACTATTTTTAGTTTATCTAATGAGTATTACAGGTCGTTCTAATGGGAACATCAGACTATCATTAGAAATGTGACACGATGGTTCATATGAAATGATTATCTTATCAAAGATATTTCTGTTTATCATAAACAATAAAAAAGATTATAGCTCTTTGTCCTTATTATACAATAAATATCTATACTTTAACTAAATTATAAATGTGATTATGGAATAATTGTATAACTATTATTATCTAGATCATTTTATTGTTATATTGAAAGTACATGCATTTTTTAAACATCTTCGAAAAAATACTGCTAATCTGTCAATCGTTTCAGAGTCATTCTTAATGTAAATCAAGCTAAAACTCTCTTTCATGAACAATCAAATATTTTTCTTAAATTATTCAATGATGAGTGACAATAATTAGCAAACTATAATATTTACTCTTTAATGATTTTTCTTTGACGATTTTTCAGAACATTGTATAAATGTATCAATTATCATTTGTTTTAACAATATGATCTATTCTTCATCTAATTGATAATGATAAGAGACTATGATTATCTCAGATAAATATATATGATTTCTTTTTTTTCCGAAAAACTATCGATGCATTTAGTTTGGGCTTATTACGTATCAATAAATATGTAGTTGATCATTAACGTGACATTGTTTTCTTACGTTTTCTTTGATTTCTTGTCTAACTGAATGATGTCGTTTAGATGTACGATTGTTTTTATTTTGAACATTATAATTTTTAATAAATATGATTAATATGAAAGAGATTTTAATGTGAAAAGAATTATTACACAAGAGCACATTGTGTATACGAATAACGTTCATATACACTTAACGAAAGAACTAAAAAAGATGCGGCTTATCGCTGCATCTAACACGAGAATTGATATGGATTTGTATATTGAAATAATATTGGTTATTGCCTTAGAAATTAATATAAAGAACGTTATTGGTTGTATAGTAAGATATGATTGATATTTTATTTAAATCAGAATCGAGAATATTTTGATTTATTTGTTCTCAAAATGATAAAAAGAAAAATTTCTGATCAATATTTTTCAGTTGAAGCAAATATTATAGGAGTGAATGTTGGTGCGAATAAAAGAATGAAGAGGTACCCACACCCACACCCACACCCACATTGTCTCTAGCACTATACAACATCGATGAGCTTTCCTTCGTATTCTATCTAGTTATTATTTATGACATATATTTTGTTTCAACACACACGCATACATAGAATCAAATAAAAGTGAATTGTTTAGTGTTCTAAACTTTGGCTATGTAACATCGAAGGTATCATAACAAGTACAAAGTTGATGATTTTTTCTAGCGTTGTTTTTGCTGAAACCTGTAAAAGAAAGAAAGAAAGATTTTAAATGTAATAATGATTGAGTCTTCATTTTTTGATTAACCATATTTTAATATAGAAAACTCTGTTTCACAACTGTGATACCTTTTTTCCGCTTGACATTCATCGTTCAGTAAAACAATCTCATATAATTACTAATTCTATACAAATTTTGTTCTTATAAAATTCTTCGGCAATTGTCGATGTGAGTAAAAAGTCTTTTATTTTCAAAAAAACTATTCCTTCGATAACCGATAAAGGAATAGTTCTATCGAATGAATATAGCCGGCCCTTTACCTTTATTGTATGCACTCACTCGATGACTTCAGCTTGAAAATCACCTGATCTTGATCTGCAATAAAATAAAGCAAATGAGAATAAAGTGTAAAATGATAGTCAGAACTGTCCTACCCTCGACTTGCAAACTGACGTCTGAGAAGTGTCTTTCGTTTCCACACAATAAAACCAACACCAATCAAGAAAATGATCACGATCGGAATACTAATCAGCCATAGTAATGATCGATTTTTCTTTTTTCGAAGAGCTAGTAGAATAACCACACTTAAAAATATTTATTGAGAATAGAAAAGAGAGTGTGGATGTGGGTGTGAATAGAAAGAATACACACTCATCCACATCTACACGCTCTTTCGTTACTTACGAATTGACATAATATACTCTTCTGAATGTACGTCTATGTAACCTTCTTTTACTGTTGAAAAAAAACATCGATAATCACACCCAGGAGTACCATTGAAAGTTGCTGTTAATGTTGTTGTACATTGACTATGAGTTATTTTCATGTCCATGCATACAGATGGTTGCGTATGATTTGCTTGGCATACTGATTCAATATGATCGAAGTCGCTTTGGGGAATAACTTCGACACTAATATCAGTAGTGTTTGACAACCATGTCCGTTTGTAAAGTACTGGTTTTAATGCTAACAAAAAGAAAAAACATAATCAAGAACTGATATACTGTTTAGATGTCTTTACTTGTGTTGAAATCTATAGCACTATACTTTATCGAACTAAATCCTGCTCTGGAAACAGTTGCCCAACATTTATAGTCGATACCATTCTGTATTGGAGCGATTGTGATATGAGTGCAATTCGTACATGCACTATTGATTTTGCCCGTTAGAACGGCACTTGTATTCGTACATGTTTGATTAGATGCAGAACAGTCGATACGAATCTCGTCGAAAAAATCCCGGGGTCGTGTGAAATAAATCAATGCCACAGTATCGTTTGTCTCGATTAATTCAACACTGAAGTTGGTTGCTTTGTCTATTTCTAAAATCCGACAAGATAATATAGTAATGAACTTATGTTAAATAGCTTCAGCTATACAAAACAAACTAGCATTACTTATTAAGTGACTTCGGAAGCTCAATTATATGGAGTGGAATCTGCTGTACAAAAGCGCATTTCATTGCTTAAATAAACACTTTAAACCTGGTCTTACTTGTGGTGATAGGGACAGGCAGCACTTCTTCTGGAAATGTGCTGTTCGAAGTCTGTACTCCATCATATTTTGGGATGGAAGATCGAATGACTTGAAAATTATAATGAACAGCTGGTCCTACCGAACATGTAAATGTACAATTCTCTGGAAGAGATTTCCTTTCAGTCTCGGCACCCAATCCGCATCGAAAATAGAGATGTGCCATTTCTGCTACTTGACTGCATCCCTCTACAATGATCGTCGCTAAAGTAATGTTTTCATCAACTGTTTGCTGGACTTTTGGTAGGCTTCTTAAAGAGAGTGGCTCGAGCGAAACAGTAAATGTTTCATTGACGACATTTGTTTTGTGATCATTCATACTACCAAATGAAAACGGCCATTTCTGACCAGCATGATCGCTAATATTAACACATGTAACTATAACATTAGTTTTCTCAACCCTTGGTAAATAAGTCAAATCTATTTTGCATTGTGTTGCGATATTGCCATCTTTAAATACAGCCAACTTAGCAGAATTTGCAATTAAACAATTGTATGAAATGTTGAACATGAATATACTCGATGCCCGATTCATCACTTTCGTAGCAGTCGAGTGAACATTCTGGCAAGGTTTACCTATAACATAAAAATATCAAAAGTATTAGTTCGCGTTGATATCAATACAACAATATGGGAATGTTGTTTACTAGTTCGATCAACTCCAGTCGTATCTTACCTATACGAATAGTTTCGAAGCGTCGTTCTTCTGGGAATGTACCGTTGGCAGTTTCCTTTCCATTATATATTGATATAGGAAGACGAATTAATGTTATGTTGTAAGTGGAATCTGGTTTCACTGGACATGTAACTTGGCAAGTGTCAGTAACTGGTTTCTTTACATCATCATCGCTCGAACATTGAAAATTAAGATTTTTAATTTCTGAAATATGAGAACAATCGGGTATAACGATTGACGCCGATGTGATTTCCTCATTAAGTGTAATATCAAAACTAGGTAGCTTCGTCAAAAGTAATGGATCAAGTGTGACAGTAAATGTTTCATTGCCAATAGTTGGATTAACTCCAGATTTGTTACCCAATACAAATTTCCAATTTTTTCCAGCATAGCCCATAATAAGATTGCATGTGATTTCAAGTTTGGTTTTCTCCCTGCCGCCAGTTGCCGCTACTTTTCTCAATGTGCATTGTGATACAATTTTATCATCTTTAAATATTGCCAATGTATTAGCATGATTTGTAATATTACAGTCGTAGGAAATCTGGCACTTGAACGTGTTTGGTGTACGACTAATAATATTGATATCAATGGACTGATCACCATCACAAACTTTAGCTGTAACAAAGAATACTTGAAATATGACTCAAGTTTGTTAGGATCAAAATATATTTACCAGTTTCTGCAGCTCTTGCTGTCTGATCAATGATTTCACAATGAACGTTTGTAGCAATCTACTTGTTTAAAAAAACAAATAATTTATCCATTCAAATATATAGATTACACTCACCTCTATCAAACAAAACGTCAGTAAAAACCAACAGCAATTGAATTTCATCATTCGTAAAAATCGAATGGTCGTTGTTATGTAGTTTATAACTGCAAAATAACCAATATCACGATATAAAACTAATTGCATTCAAATACTTTTTACTCATGCCATACAACAAAAAAGATTTCACTCCATTCAATCCGTCATACTATTACTACTGATTAAACTATATAGCGTATTCTGTTCTTTTCCTAACCAGAGAAAAAAAATGTTCTACAAGTACGGTATCAAAAAGAACAAGGTGTTTCTTTTATCAAACTTTCTACTCTCATCTTTACACACGACACGATAGAAGACGCTGAAAATGCTTCATTGGATATCTAAGAACGATTGTTACAGTTAACAGAATAGTTACTTTACACAATAAATATAAATTCCCGCAGCTCGGCGAGCAAACATATGAGAGACCTGGTTTCGATATATATTCATCTATCGACGCTTTTTATTCACTCGATCGATGTCTTCGATTGTATGATGTATTAATGAAAGAGAGAGAAGCCTAGCACCTGAAAAGATTCCCATGTAATCAATGAAATAAAAAAAACGATACTCCAATACAACTTACAAATGAAAAAATATTATTTTATTAGATCGGTTCTAAGTTGCACGAGAGATAAGAAGGAAAAAAATAATTTATATTGAAACATTATAACACATTTAAGACGATTATAGTACTGATTCGTGCATGGCATGTTAACTTTTCTACTTTTGCAGCTGCACTTTTAGAGGCCGATTCTCTAGTTAACTCGTAAACTAATAAATGAGATAAAATTTATTTGCTTTTTTTTACACTTATAGAACGATTTTTTCTAAGTGATAATTTGACTTGAGATAAATCGTAGATATTTCAATTTCAATACGTAGAATGAAGGATGAAAGATAAATATAATTCCCACGTCCGTCGATCAAGCTGGCAGTATACATATAGAATAATACACAAATAATATGAAGACTTCAACATTGTTCGTTCATTTCACTAGATCAGTTGTTGTCAAAAACTATACTTCTATTATTGCATAAGTCAGGCAATATTTACTCAAATGTTCGATTTTTTGAATCTTGCAAACACGTCAACAATAAAGAAACCAAAAGTACATCATTCCCAAGAGACTTTATAGCTTAGATTAATTTTATTTATCATAAACATGAGCAAGAGATTCCCTTATTTTTCAACTTTATCAGACTGATGATCGGTTTTGTCACCATAGTATCCACACCTACTCACACTCTCTTAAATCACATAAATGTTTCTTATTTTATTTTTAAGAACAAAAAATATTTTCCCGCAGTCACATCTATTCTAAATAATTTAATTTGAAAATATTGGAAAAATAGATTTTAGAATTGATTTCATGATGAAATTTAATCATTTTTATTAAGTATTTATTAACTTTAATTAATTAGAATCGAATAAGAAACAATTCATTCAATTATTTCTTCACTTATTCTAATAGCAGTTTTCCTTAACAAATTCTACTTTGAAAGATGATTATGGATTAAGGAATAATAAAAGTAAAATCGATACCTGGAAATTGTTTTCCTTTTTATCCAAATATCAAATTAAATTAAATTTTTAAAAAGGAAAAAACAAAAAGATTTTTCTTCTTTCTTTTATTTTTATTTCTCGATTTTTATTCAAAAAAACATTTCGCTCACAAAATTATTTCAAATTTTTGAATTCGATGATTTAAATTATCAACAACATAGAGTTTTCCTTCATCATCGAAAGATAAACCAATGGGACCATTCAATTGATTATATTGATATCCTCTTCCATTTCCACCAACAACAATTTCACCTTCTTCTTTTTCTTCACACCAACGCATTACTCGATCATTCTCAAAATCTGCCACATAGATTTGACCTAAATCATCAACAATTACTCCTTGAGGCCCAAATAATTGATTGAGATTTTCTCCTTTACCATTCCCACCAGCCATAATTCTTCCTTCTTTTACTTCTTTTCTCCATTTCATCACACGATGATTGCTGCTATCTGATACATAAACTGATTGATCTTCATCAACAAATATAAAATTAGGAAAATCAAGTTGATTGAGTTGATTTCCTTTGCCATTTCCACCAGCCACTACAATTCCTTCATTATTATATTCTTCCATTTTCCATCGTCTCACTTCATTCTTCACACAATCAGAAACATAAAGAAATCCATATTTATCCATTGCCAAGCCACAACAGTCAATATTTTCAATGAGAATTTGTTGATTTTGATTAAACCATTGAATCACTCGTCTATTCCCTTTATCAGCAATGATAATCGAATTATTTTGATGATCAACAATCACATCTGTTGGTCGATCCAATTGATTCATTCGATCTCCTTGTCCATTTCCACCTGTAATAATTTGTCCTTCTTTTGCATTGTATTTCCACTCAACAATACGACTATTCCAATAATCAGCAATAAAAATATTTTTCTTTTTATCAGTAAAGATTCCGCGAGGAGAATTCAGTTGATCTAATTCGTGTCCTTGTCCATTTCCACCAACCACAGTGATGCCACTTTGTTTCCATTTGTTAAATTTTGATTCTAGAAAACGATGAAAACAAAACATTTTAATAAAAAAAGAAAAGATTAATTTTGAATGAAACTTTGATTTTAGTTTTTTAATTAAATATTACTTTTTTTCTTTTACTTATGAATAAATTTTATTTTCTGTTTCTATTAATACTATTCTAATTGATTTAATTAATGAATAAACCGATTATAATCGCAATTGTTTTTTCTCGTCTTCAGCAGACTTTTCTTTTAGAAATTCTTTATTAAAAACGTACTTTTTGATAAAATAATAGAAATATCATTAATAAATGCTTGTGAATCTTGTTGAATCGAAATCTTTGATGAATTATTTAATTCTTCTGTAATTTCTCTTAATTGATTTCTTAAATAATTTAAATTTATTTCATTAAAGTCATTTTCAGCATTAATATGTTTTATTTGCTCATTTAAATCATTAAATTTATTTTCAAGATCATTAAAGAATGTTGGTAAATATTCAATAACAATTTTTCTACATTCTTCTGCTTTTTTTTGAATTATTTCAATTGAATTTCTTTCCCATTGATCGATTTGATTTATTAATAAATCATTTTGTGGATTTTGTTTTTGTTGATTAATTTTTTGTTTAAATTCATTATATTCATTAGTAATATCATTTAATTCTTCATTTAATATTTGTTGATGTTGTGTTAAATGTATTAAACAAAATTCTTTTAAACATCCTTTACAAGGATATGTGATTTTTTCCTTATTACATGTAAAACATTGTGTTTTATTGTTTGCCATTACCATGTCTTTGAATAGAAATCTATAGAAAAAATGAATAATCTCCTTATCTACTTTTATAGTTCGAAACTTAATAATTCAATGAAAATAAAAGCATCACTCGATAGTAAAATAAATCGAACAAGAAAACTGATGTTAATATCTTGAGAGCGCAATGGTAGTATAATAAAAAAAAAAGGTAGTCACATCTGCATTCACCTTGAATGAAGGAAGTGAAACTTAACTATGTACTTTTCTATTTTTGAGATAAGAAAAACCAACATTCTATGCGATTAACTTTTTACTGTCTCGAACAAAATCATGTTTTTTTTTACATAAAGAAGAAGAAATCTCTTTTTATTGTTTGATATCCTTTTGAAAAGAATAACAAAATATACGACAAAATTCAACATAAAATATTTTTACAATCTACAAAAGATAATTGATTTTATAGTTACATCTTGTGTTTTCATCAAAAGTAAACTAATATTCATATAAGACATTTCCTTTTATTTAATCTATAAAACAAATTATTGAATTTTTTCATACGAAGATTTGTAGTCTATTTCATCATTTAATACTGTAGATTATATAATGAAAGGATAAGTTTTGAAATATTATCGCAAGACAAACATTAAAAATTGTGAGTTGTAAGAATGAAGGACTTTTATTGATAACCGCTAGATGAGAACGCTAGAGTAACACTGTTACTTTAAATATGCTAATATCGTTTTTTTCTCTCCAGTATATTGATATTTGAGATCTTCAATCAAAATGATTGTCATTCAAAAATATTTTATTTAAATAAAATGAAATGATTTGTCAATGAAAACTTTTCTCTAAACATTTGAAAAATACTTTGAATGATATTAATGATCAATATAATCATACTGAATTAAAATTTTCAATTTCAGCATTAAATATTAATGAATATGATTTAATTTTAGTTTTGAATGAAATTGTTAATTTAATAATATAAATAAATGTGGAAACTTCGGATTTTATCCGAGAGTTATGTATACTACAAAAAGTGTACATGAAAAAAATCATTGGAAAATACCAGTATTTTTGCAATAATTCGAGAATGGCTCGTCCAATTAGGCTCAACTCGATCGAGATGTTGATGACACTGAATTATGTAGAAAGTTTCATCTAAATCTATCTCTTCTTTCGAAAGTTACCATGTAAACGGACGGACGAACACACTGACCGATTCTAGTAGTGTACTCACTTTTTGAGTACACAAAAACGTAAAGGCTAGATTGAAATATTGAATTCAACTGGTTGAATCGAACATCATATTTTCTGTATGAATGAATACAAATATTACGAATATCTCTTATCTTATTGATACGGACTTTCAATAATTTCATCCGATATTATATTATAATTTGGTTAGTATAAAGAACACTATCTAATTTTTGTTAGTCGAATATATTATGTTAGTTTTATCAAGTTTATATTAATTGTTTCAAATAATCATGGTGATAATAATGCCACAACACATTGCGACAAGATTCCAAGCTAAATATGGCATTGCCATTGCTGCAGATGATCGAGGCAATACTTTAATAATGATAAAAGTATGTGTTGTTGTTGTTGTAGTTGTTGTAGTTGTTGTTATTGGAGTTCCTGTAAAAACAAAGGATGTACATCAACAATACAAGAAGTTTATTGTAACAAAAGTAACTTTCTCTTGATGTTGATTTTTATTTGAGTGGTATTATATTATCGATATATATTCACCTTTTTTT